CCCCAAAACCCCAAAACCCCAAAACCCCAAAACCCCATGATTTAAATTCTGTATCGTATAAATAAATAAATATACTATGAATTATCAATTTCAGAACATTGAGCAACAGAGCCAAGAGAATTCGTTATTTGGAGACCAAGTGGATTATGTTCAAGATCCTCTGTACTATGACAATGTATTTGCTTTAAACTTTGGAACACCTGAGCAAAAGGTAAGACTCAGTGACTTATGAGTTGCTTAAGTATCATAGCTGTCTTAGTATATCGCATTCGGATATAATTCTTCCATTCGAATATAGCTTTCATAACTTTTACTCTCAATGCTGACTCTTTTTCATAGGAGAATAGCCAAGATCTAACAGACTGGAGCTGATTTGGACAAGCCAACCCTGATTCTGTCAGAGATGTCATTAAGAAGAATATGATTACTTTCGAATCGTTCTATAATCAAAAAGCCACTAATGCAGATGGACTTGAAGAACAAACCTCAACGAATGCTCTTAATGAGAAGAAAGTTTCGTTCCATCACCCAGAGGCTCAAGATACTTCTAACCATGTCTTCTTGTCCGATAATGAGCTAGAAGCTTCCTTGAGAGTTGACCAAGAATTGCTTCAAGAGGAAAATTTGTTAACTTTGAGAGAAGATACGGTTAACAGAACTAAGAGGAGAGCTGATATGGAGATCAAGAAAGCTTGTCGAAGAATAAAACAATTTTACAAAGTCTTGTTCAAATCTCAGAACCCTGAGATTATCAAGAGAAGATACATTAACTGCGATTCACAAGTAATACTTCAATCAATGAAAGAGACTTTACTTACTATTCTCCCTGAAGATGATGTGACAGATGAACTAACCTACTTTACAATCGGGATCTGAGGAATTAAGCAATCATTTGAGCTTGAGTGATTGGAAGAGACTGAAAAAGATATCTATAGCTATTCAGAAGCGGCTAAAAGGTTCACAATGCTCAAATTCAAATTGTGATTAAACTCAACTAATCTCCAAACCTTGTGAAGAGGATTCATCTCTCAAAACGAGGGGGATTTATCAGATATCCTACAAAAAGCTTTAGACAAAGCTAGCTCTTCAACTTAATAATATCTGCAAGTCAGATCATTATGACGGCTAGCTTTCAAGAGACATATCCTGGTTTAAATAAGGTCTTCTAGCTAGTTTTTATAAAAGTTCAAAATATTTACTCTTGGAGGGATTTCGGCATATCTTTTACTATTAATTGGTTTTCTGTTTGTTTTGAGCTTTAAATTTATTTTCTTGGGTGAGGCAGCGGGCATTTGCAAAATTGTTAAAATGTAGCTCTCTTAAATTTCTGAAATTTAATGATCTTTTCTCTTGTTAATCAAGAATAAAGCCTTATGGCGTTGGTGAAGTTTTATTAAGCTATTTAGCCAAAATTGATAGATTTTATTCATCTAGTTAGCGTTCTCAAAGGTCGATTTTAATCACTGATTTACCCAAGTTTTTATTAATTTCCAAAATAACCAAAGTTTAATTAATGGGTAAGTTAATAACGAGGTTATTATAGAAGGGTTTAATAATAAATACAAGAGGGTTATTTTATTAACTATGTGTAATTATTAATTAAAAATGGAAAATACTTTCCAAAAATTTTGTCAAGAGAAATTAGGAAGGCATTTCACAGCTGAAGTTAGTGGTACAGCTGGAACTAAGAGTTAAAAATTATTGGTCCAGAATGCAACAGACTTCTTCTAACTCTTCACTTCAGACATACTATGAGCTGGAGTTGCCAAATAACTTTTTAGTTTTTCAATGGCAGAAATTTTTGGAAGATATTTGGCACAATTAATCAATAATTACACATAGTTTATAGAATAAGTAATTTGTTACAATATTTAAAACCTTGCATCTTGTCAACTTAAATGAGGCAGAGTATTCCAAGAGACCACTTTATTAATATTCCTTTTCTTGCTCTGTCAAAATAATTCAACAATTATAGCCTTCCATTCGATTCATTAGGCCGAATAAAATAGAAAACTAGCAAAATTTCGATATTATTAGCTATACACCGCTTTGTGAAAGGAAATGGATTTTTTCGTTTGTTATTTAGGTTATCATACTCATTTAGAAGGTCTTTTAAGGACTTATAGTTATTATTAGTCTTTATTTCTTTCAAAGATAATTTCCAAGATGATTATATTCAAAAGAGTACTCTTTTGTTAATCATTATTATGTTTGGAATAAAATGGACATCCCATAAATCCTCATCCCAAATTTCTCATGATCACTTTAAATTATAAGCCTGGCTAGACTACCTCCTCTTACTTAAAACTTTCTATTTTCTGGTCCAGCCATCACCTTATATATTCCATTGGGTGGATACTCATATTGTACAATATGAGTATCTTCTTTCCTGTTCTTTAAAATTCCAACCCAATCCACCCTCATCTTCCATTCCGATCCTCCAATTCCAAAATCTCCAGCCTCCTTTCTTCAAAGGCTAGGTTCAGCCTTGGTTTTGGTGGAAGACACAGAGGGAGATTCGAACCAGATAGGTCGGAGGACTAGAAGAGTAGGAGGAAGAAATTTTAGTGCGAGATGTGAGCTGGTGATAAGAAAGTGGAATGAGCTTGCTGATGACGTGGTGAAGAGATTTGGAAGGGATAGGAAATTGGGAATGAATGGAGAGTAGGGTCGGTTTAAGAGATGAAGGGAAATTTTGAGGGAAGAGTAGGGTTAGAAATTTAGCGATTCTCTTGAAAAGTAAGCTTTAAAATTATTTGCATTATTTTTCAGGACCATGATGGATGAAATTGCTTCCTTCTCTTTTGTGTAATTTTATAAAGGAGTTTGAGTCACGATTTGGTGTAAATTATATCAAACTCCATTACTTTAAGGTAAAAATTGTTTTATTTTTAATCATGTTTGAAATGATGCTTAAATAATATGTCTAAAACACTCCAGTAGCTTCAGAAGAGATAATTATTATTTATATCATTTTTGTAAGCTCTGGAAGACTTACCTAACTTATGATGATAGAAATTGTCATTAATCAAGCATTTTGATTGCTTGGTTTTAACCGTAAATCTTGATTGCACTTATGCAATAGCAATATTTACTATACTCCAGAGGCTTGATTTCTAAAATTGAAAAATCTAGCCTCAATGAAACTACATAAAATAATAGATCATAGAGAGGATGGTGACGAATTCAGAGTGTAAGTTGAGTTCAAGCATTGATATAATCAGTCAGAGCCTGGATCCTAAAAATACTTTTAAATTTAATGCTAAATTCTTTCAAAAAGTCCAGTTTTATTATTTCCATACACCATTAAACCTGGTTGTAAAATTATATCGGATTACTTCTTTTTTATTCTTGAACATAAAATTCGTGTAAGAATGGTTTAATTAGCTGACCATTCGCCCAAAAGAGATAACCACCTGGATTGTTATTCATGGTTCCAAATTAAGTAGTATTAGCTTATAATCCTTCACTAAGACTCACAAATTTATTAGTGCGATTGTTCTTGATTTCAGTCTTCATTATTAATATTTTTATCAGAAAATTCTTATTCTGGTATTATTCATCAGACCTTCAATTTTGATTTAGCCTAAGAAGGTATTATCTTATAAAACTTAAAGGAAAGCATTAGAGGTATCTTTAGAAAGAATATCCGAGTGTTTCTTTCTTATGATCAAGCAACTCTAACTAAACAGTTACAAGAAATCGAGTTTTAAATTTCTTGAAAAATTATTTTTCTACTCCCAAATATTTCTAGTGTCAATTCGTAAGCAAATGTTAATCTCTCTAAAATTCTCAATAAAGACTTTCCAATCCCTTCTTACTTCCCCTCACTCCTTCTAATCATCCTTCCTCTTCTTCTTGACCCCTACGGTCCTCTTAACCTCCCTAGCACACAGCATCCTCTCTATTCTACCTCAAATTCCTCTCAACTGACTCAGAGCTTTCTTCACTTTTCACTAGCCCACTTTATAATTCCAGAACATACCATGACTTTACAAAGCCTAGCTTATATCGTCAGAGCTGCCTCAGAAATTCTTAGCAATACTTCTAACTTAATATCAAACTAGGTTTTTCAACCGGGAAATTCTTGTCTGGGGTTTTGGGGTTTTGGGGTTTTGGGGTTTTGGGG